GAATCTCCACTTCGAAGGGAAAGTTGGTTGGAAGGGATTCGTGATGTGGTCTCACCGAAAACCGAAGGAGGATTGTCGCATAAGGAGGACTGTCGAATTGTGCGAAGAAGTATGGAATCTTGTTCTTATGATGTCTGTTACGGCGGTACAGACGAAAGCTTACTACAGTTGCATCGGGGTCGCAGGATGGTGAGCCTAGGGCTTCTTCGCACAATTCGACAGTCTTCCTTACGCAAAAATCCTCTTTCGGTTTCCGGTGAGACCAAATCATGAATTCCTTTTCACCAACTTTGCTTTAGAAATGGAGAGTCATGTCACAATATTTCATTAGGGAATTCTTTGAAACCCTTTTTTCACATGCTCACAGTTGTCGCCCTACTTAAAATATACTAGCTTTTTATTCTGAAATGTTCACGCCTTTAATATTGCTGATGTATGTGTGCTGTGTGTATGCAAATCTTGAAATTCAGTTGACATGTCTTTGCTTAAACCAGACTTAATGTTGCTCGGTGGTTCATCAGGCCCTATCTCTATCTCCTTAGTTCTATCTTACTGAATAGTTCTTGCTTAATCTTTTACCTTTGCTCGTTGTTTATTTTGTAAATTTCAGTCGACAGCCTAATCATCCACGAAGCCTTGCCGTATCTATATCCCACAAAATATTGGCTTTCATAGCATATGTTCCGCCACCTCGGTTCACCTCATCGGCAACCGCAGTCTAAAGTTGGTATTGAGTAGTTTAATGATAATATGGCGAAAATAGAGCCGGCACTGCCCTGGGCCGTGTCCCTCGGGGGGTGCTGATGAGATTCAGACAAAGGCGAAACTGAAATGTATTCACCCAATTTCGTTTAAGGTGATGAAGGACTGGCAGAAGAAGAATTTTCCCACAATGATATGATTTGAGATAACGTTTCCATTGGTTCGACTCCTGCTGAAGGTGATGATAAGACCGATGCGAGGTCGAAACTGCGGTCGACTTCTGCCTGGATGAGAACAACTTTTGGGAAATTTAATGGAAACGTCAACTCAACTCATATCATTGTGGGAAAATGCTTCTTCTACCAGTCCTTCATCACCTTAAACGAAAATGGGTGAATACATCTCATATGGTCATGACAACAATACTTAATTCGAAAAATAAAGGCGAAACTGTGGGTACCTTTTTGAAAGCGAAGCCAAGCGAAATTCATATCATTATGGGAAAATTCACCTTATGCGACCAAAGAAGAATAAAGTTATTATTGAATGAGTAAATCAACCACTTCGCTTCAGCAAGCCAGCAGTCGGACTCATTGGTTGCCGTGACGTTAATGCCGTCTGTGTGAATCTCACTTCAGAAGGCGCCATTTTTTACATGTTGGCTCTCTGTCGCTGCCTTCCAGAATCGCCCGCTGGAGCTTCAGTTCCTTCTACGATGCTCCATTTGATTGTCGGCTCTGGGTCGCTTTTTCCAAATGCATAACAATGAGCTCGACTGACGCCGATGCCTGTGCGATGTTGTGTCCATTTCGTGTATAAGTGTGAGCGTGTACTTCTCACTGTCGTCTACCCCAAGGCTCCTAAGCCGTATTTTGTACAGGATGCTGCGTTTTGTTTGCAGAACGGCTTTAATCAAATACAAATCGGATGTTTCGAGTGTCGCACACGAGACCGCCGGTATGCCTGAAACCTGCCTCTGCGGGTGCACAAGAAAGCACCAACACAAATACACACACACACACACACACACACACACAACGATATACACGAACAAGTGAATACGGACAAGAGCATCCTCGTGGCAATGGGCACCATGCAAGAGCGGCTGGCCCCACAGCAGCCTCCTTGTCTTCTCGCCATCGCCATCGCCGTCAGCATCATCATCATTCTCAGTCTCACCATCGCCACCACCACAACCATTCCACAGACTCCCGGCAAGTTGAGCAGTCTGATGCTTACAACAGCGCCTGGCAAAAAAAAGGCAAAAGCAACACCCGGCCGCCTCCAGTTCGTCTCATGTGCACACTCTTACATGGCACCACTTGACTCCACCTCTTCGACTCCACTGAACAAAATGAAACCCGGTTCTTCTGGCAAATCTCTTTGTCCTCATTTCACTCGACTCCTTGACTGGCCACCCATAATGCAGGACAAGACCAAAACCGAGACCTGCAGTCAACCGGAAGGGAGACAAGCGATGTGAATGTGTGTCTGTGTGTGTGTGTGTGTGTGTGTGTGCATTTCCATAAAAAAACCTGTGATCGCCTTGCGGCTGGACAGTGGACTAATGATGGGAGACTTGGCGACTTGAGCATGAAAGTGTTCGTGTGGCCCAGTCATAATAAGTGTACATAATGCTTGTGTATACTCGAATACAGGCCCTTGTGTGCAATCGTGTACTCATATCGTTGCACAGACGATTAATAGACCAGCCAGGGGGTGGGCCAGAGTGCCAGTTACCAAGACGCCGACAACCCCCTGGCACGGACACTAACTTTTGTCTGTGCGTGTTCATGTCTCCGGATTACTTGTGCTTTGTGCACTGTCTGCTTGTGAGGGTGTAATCATCCCGTTTGCGTCAAGACTATTCTGCAGTCAATTGTCTTGCCCTCCCGGCTCAATCGGCTTGTCACGTCGCCAGGTCGCTGTACCAACCTTGGGGTCCTCTTCGCAGAGCCCACTTAGTGCTCGCCTGTCATAGCAAGCATGTGTGTAAGCGCGTCTGTAAAGGCGTGAATACACCGTCAAGTGCAGCCGGTGCATGAGGAAGTAAGAATCAGTTGCGGTGAGGCTACATTTACCATTTACACATTCTTCTGTTGACAATGTAAGGTGGTCAAATGTAACAAGGCCAGAAAGGCAAGCACACCTTTCGCCATGACAACCAAGTTCCAGTGGAGTCAGAGCAAAGGCCTTCGGCACTCAGACAAAAAGGATAAGCTCAAACAAACAAACTTTAATAAGTCTTATTATTTTTAGAAGCTTCCAGATCAGAATTTTGAAAAATGGACCTACCTCTCATGAACAAGAAAATTATTTCATCAGCTGAGTGCAGTTTTCGAGTCTTATGAGCGCAACTATGCTTGAAGGTCGTAATTGGGACGATCCGGACTCGAGTATACCTGAGAATTTCGACTAAAATTGAAGTTGTACTCTCTACCGATTGGTATATTTTACTGTTGTTGGACAATCTGGCCACGCTGAATCAAAGAGAAAGCCATTATTTTCTCACTTTTGTAAACGTCAAGGTTTAGATATTGCTGTTTATTCGAGCCGTTAGGAATGAGAATTGTGACGCCCACTTCAAAGTGAATAGATACCTCAATATTGCTGTAAACTTGTCGCTGGGGCACATTCTGAAAGATGTTGAAAAACTGGTTTCGAAGAATCCCCTAATAGATTCATGTTGGAGTACCTTTCCTTTCGCCTAAAGAGGCGAGTGGAAGGTATTCGTAAGTTGGTTCTACCGGAGACTGTGAGAGGCTTCCATGGAGCTGTGCTTGTAGATTTGTGCGAAAAGGTCATCGGCGCACCTCCGTGCGAGGGCTTTCTTCAGATACCACGCTTAGCGATAATTCATCAAAATCACGAAGGCAAACATGGTGGACGGCTTCAAATCTTCTTCTTTCTTATATTCCAATTTGGTCCACTTATGCATCTCAAGTTTTGGTTGGATGTCCTATGTTTTGTCTCTATAGTTGTTCATAAGTTAAGTTAAGTGGCTACAGATGAAGCATGAAATGGGTTCAATGGAAACGGAACAGTTGCATCCTCCCCTAAATCATGCATGCCCTTGATCATGCAATGTTGCCGCATGTGATTGCGTCCCATTTTACGTGTGTTGTGGGTGTGCATTGCTCTTG